TTATATATAATATAATATATTTATATATAATATTTTTTTAACACAAAGCATTTCTTTAAAATGCATAGATAGTACTATTTGCATCCCTAGTTATCCCTACAAAATTTGAGCGAAATCGGTCGAATAGTTCCTTAGAAATCGAATTTTAAAAATATGACTCTCTTTTAAAGACCTCTTGTCTTAGTTTTGCTAAATTGACCCATTTTGACTCTTATCTTCAATAAGTTAGATACGAATTAACTAAAGGCTCAACCAGAAATGAACTAGTATCGCATTTTCAGTAAGCTCGTTTATTCTAAATTAAGAGTTTAAAACTAAGAAAGAAACGATAAATGATTTGTTTCTTTTTAATAACGTATTTCTATGATATAACTATATTGCTCTACACTTTAAGATAAACGTGTTTGGATCGGCGCCTACAGTAATTAAACATTTTACAATTATAATTGTTAGTGCAAATTACAATATTCTCACTATTATAAATTAGTTAAAGAGATTCGTTAAAAAATTACTAACTTAATGATCAGCTTCAAGCACTACGTCATGCATAAACAAATTTATTTAAAATATCAGTCTGTTTGGTAAGCGAAAATATTAAATTAAAATTGTGAACTCACCAAATTTGTAATAAAAATTCACCTTTTATGTTAAATATTATTCTTAAAAAAATTATAACTAAGTAAAATTATTTATGTTTACTAATAAATAGATCTTAATAGAATGATTAGGAAAATATAATCATACGAGATCTTTCATGCCAATTACCAATTAAATTTTACTCAAAATAAACATTTAATTTAAAGAAATGAATGTTGGACGCAGGAACTGATGGCAAAAGCGTAAGCAAACACATTTATTTCATAAAAAGTATTATTATTATGTCATAGTACATATATTTTAAGGGAATAATTTCCACTTACATAGAAAAAACTATTTTGTGATTTTAAAAAAAAAAAAAAGTTCTTGTGAAGTACTAGTGAGTGGCAACAAGCCAATACAATATAAATTCGGGAAGGAAAGTAGAATGATTAAAGTCAGGCTTAGCTATGGAGCCCTCTGATTCGGTAATCTTCGTAAATTATTTATTTTTTACATGATTAACTTAAATTTTTAAAACATTTATTTAGATAACTTGTGTTGACACATAGAATATTTCTAATAAAATGATGGTATATTAATAGAAAAATATCTAAAGTTTCAGGATTTATTTTTTAATCTTCTAATATCTATGCTGAAACTACATTAGTATACAGGCCCTAAAATCTTTCGATATTCAGGTTTCAAAAGCAGACTTGTCGTTCCTTTGTTAGTATGAACTCAATCCAGAAAAATAAATTACTCCTTAACCCTCTCAAAAATTTTCTCCCCCTGAATGAATTAGTACTGGAGATACAATTTATAACTCATTGGGAAAATGGGTCTTGCTCTTGGTTTTTCATGTTCGCACTCTTTACGACTAGATTAACTTCAATCTATAATCACAAAAAAAAGAGTAATACGAGTCATAAAAAAATTAGGCTAGCATAAGCATTAGTCAAAAAGCAGCACAAGAGCAAATAAAAAATAGCAGACGATAATACAATACTATAATCACAAAAAAAGATTAATAAGAGTCATAAAAAATTAGGTTAACATTAGCATTAATCAAAAAGCAGCACAAGAGCAAATAAAAAATTAAAAAAAGCAGACGATAATTTTGGAACTTCTTGGGCTAGGTTGTTTTCAAGGCTGAGTTTCTTTTTTTATTTTACCCGCGTGCAGTTTTAATGATATCTATTCTTCTGGGGGATTCAAAGTATTTTTCTGTTCTTTTTGTGATTAACTTCATAATTACTGTCTTAGTGGTGACTTTAACATAAATACTGAAGAAAGACTGATAAATATGAATACTGAAGAAAAATGCATCGGCTAGAATTGAAGACCAAAAGGACACATATCATTTGATGCATTTTTTTTGCAACTCATGACTTGAAATGCTGTGGCATTTATGAAAATCTATCCAGAAAAAAAGTAAGTAAATTTCGCAATAATGTGTTCACAATTTCTTTTCTTCGATTATTACTCATCGTTATATATTTTTTCTTTCAGTTCACTTAATTTGTAAATTGAACATAAATTTTTTGCAATTTGTCTTAATTTTTTTTATCTTCTAAAAATTAAATATTGTTTAAAGTACGTCGAAAATCGTTAGTTTGGTAGCTTCAAATAAGCTATTCGAATTATATGTAAAAATATCATTAAAAAAATTTTTTAAATGAAAACAATTCCTTAAAAATATAAAAAAAATATTCGTTTGTACAAGCTTTATTAAATATTTTAATAAGAAAATTTATTTTCCATGAGTCCTATTACATTCTCGGTTCTTTATTGCATTATTATACTGTGCATTAATCATTGTTAAAATTTTGCACTTAAGTTAAATCTATCATACCTAAACCAGCATAGATTTAAAGAAAATTGCTGGACTGCATAGATTTTAAAAGTATTATTGTTCTTTTATTTTTGTAATAAATAGTTTTAAGGTAATTTAAATATGACTGTGTTAAGTATAAATGAGTGTTAATCGGTAGAATTGCTCTGGTTTGGTAATTCGACATCGAGTAAGTACCAGCGAGATAAAAAGTATCGGCACTTTGAGTGCCGGTACTTTTTATCACAGTTCGATCAGGAATGTTTTACGGTAGGCTGGTACATCGCAAGTACTCTTTTATCAGAAATACATTTTGATAACTACTCTATTTTATGGTATCAATCGTTATTCGTAATTTTTCAAACAATAATAAATAGTATAGTTTCAAGAAATTTCAATTTTTTTTTCTTCTTGCATCAAAAAAAAAAAGTTTTGATATTGCTATTTATTCTTTTTTGCATAATAGTTTCAGCCAACAGAATTTTATTGTATATTGTAAGGTTATTAAACTCTTAATTACTAATAGCTCCAAATTACTAAATAGAAAAACTAGAATTAAACAGTTTATCTCTTAAGATTTTCTCTAGAAATTTTATTTTGATACACTTTTATAATGAAAATACTATTTTGATTATGGAAGTATATTCTTTTCTAGTTTATCATTTAACTTCATTTAACATGCGCGTACAAAAATTTCAGTCAGAAGTAATCAGCAAACAGATAAACTAGTTATATATGAAAAGAAAAATATATAATCTATCTGAAAAGATAAAAATAAATAAATAAATAAAAAGAATTGTTAAAGCAATCAAAAGCTTATTAATTATTTTAAAAGCTATAAAAATTGATTAATGGAGATAATGTACAGAAATAAATAAAATTAAATGCTTGTTCCACAATATACAACTCTAGCTGCTTTAATTAATACAAATTATAAGTCATTGTTAACTCATGGAAATATTCTGGTTAAAGTTCATTAATAATTTTAAATCCCTTTCTGTTAAATATGCAATCAAAGTACAATCTTCAGAAGAAAAATAAAATAAAATATATTTGTTTAATTTGAATGAAAAATAAAAATTTTTTGCATCGAAAATGGTTCCGATTTGACACTTTTAGGAAGATGACGCAATTATTTAAAGACAAAAAAATTAATAAATAAAGCCTAAATAAATATACAAAAAATAAAAGTATACATATTATAGATTTATTTATATTTATTTACATACTCTTACATTTTAAAGTAAATTGAGTTTATTTCTTCATTTATTATATCTCACGTTTACCACTACGTATTTGCTCATCAACTTTATATAGTAACAACAATACAATTTCGTAATTTTGCGATTAGTGAAAGAAATATACACCTAAAATTATTGTTATTTTCCACACTAAATAATTTATTAAACAAAATAATCATAATTATTTCTAGTTCAATTTTCACTTATGAATTTCGACATAAAATAACCATAATTTATTTAATTTTAAAGACTCGGTAACTTAAACTTAAAAAAATTACAATTTTCTAATTTAAGTTTTTTATTTTATGAACCTCTACGAGTATTTTTAAAATTACAAAATTCTCCTTAGCGAAAATCACTGATCTCATTCAAGAATTTACTCATGAAGTGAGTTTGAAGCATGTGTTTATATGGTATTTGATTAAATTATCATAAAAATCATGCTCATATTATATACTTTTGCGCATAACCTTAAAAGTTTTAAATAAATTAAATGAATTATTAAAATAAGAGAAAGTTAGAAAAACTCAGCATACGCTTGTTTACTTGACAATGAGATTTAGCACTTCACGTTCACGTAAGTTCTGCGCAAGCTCTCAAGAACACCAAAATTGTTCTCTAGCTATTGCGTTGAGCAGAAAGTACACACATGAACATTTTGGATACTACGTGGAAGTGCTAAATCTCTCGAAAATATGAATTCATGAACAAAATTTAGAATTAAATTAATGAAGTGCATGATTTGAAGTGATACTATTCAAGAATAAAATATACGGAATAAAATTTCTTGCACTAGCATGTTACATAACAGAACAAGTGTGGGGTCGGAACTTGTCATATAAAAAAGATATTATTAAGGTACTTACAAAATGCTGGGAGACCAGTAGGTGCAAGGGGGAACTCCCCAAGTCCCCTATAAATGAGGGCAGTGTCTGCACCTGGAAAAAGTCCGCCTGGTGGAAACATAGGACGGAACACAGGTGGAAAAGTGTCCGCTGCAGGGGATGCTCCGTCTGTACTAGAACCCCCCACGACCGATGACCTATTTGCCAGAAGACTAGAACTTTCAGCAGAACTCTTCGCTGCCAAGTCTGCAAATTTTGCAAATGGTAACATTCTAGAGTTTAGATATTCTGATAGTCCAACTAAAGAAGGTGTGAGTCCAGGAAGTCCGGGCATCGGATGTCCGGCTGAAACTGGTGTGAAAGCAGACAGCCGAGGCTTCGCTTCTTCAGCAATTAGACCCATTGATGTAACTTTTGTTGAGGGTGGATTATGGTCACTTGTTTCTCGGCTGTCGGGAGATGCAGGAGAAGGGGAAGACTTTGAACCACTGTCATCAATTTTAACACTGGACATGTTGATTTAGGTAAAGATAATTCTATGTGTATTCATTGTAGATTACAGAACCTTAAAGTAGTGCAGTATTCATAAAAGTTCTAGGAAACAACTTAGCCGTGATAGATTTGTGTATCATGTCTTTTCTACAAGTTTTCAATCTATCTGTGCAGTGAGTGTCATGTTCATCTTGCAAGTTTTAAATCTAATCGCCGATCAATTTCTTAAGCACAGAAATAAAAAATAATTTCAAGTTCAGTTTGCGAAATGCAGAGTATTTCATTAAGGAACTTTTCTGTCCAATATTGATATTCTTGATAATTTTTTTTTTCTTGGTTATTAGAACATATTAACAGATATATTTTCCCGAACTTAATTTCAAACTACGAGATAACCTTACCGAAACAAAAGCTTCAGAATAAACTATCGTATAATGAGAATTGATAGGTCTCAAATACAACTTGCCTGAAGTAAAATACAGCACAGTAAGTTTATCTTGCTATTTTAAAAGAAGTGTAAACAAAGAACTCGTATCTTCCCCTGTGGCAGTAATTCAAATCTGCTGCGCATTACTCGGGATTCAAGGGATCAAATCAGGCGAAAGTACCTTTTACCGTTTGAAATGCACGTGGATTCGGGTGGAGAACGGCTATTCGACGGCGTCAGAGCCAATGGGGTACTCGATTGGGGGGTGCGTCAATAACCTCGGCCCTGCCTCCTTGATTTTTTCGTCCACCCCTCTGATCAGAGGCAATAGTGGTCTTTATTTGGAGGGGAATTTGTTGTTTCTTTTTTCTTTATATCCTATAAAGCAAAATCGGTAGCCATAAGAAGTATTGGAGGGTTGAGATGATTTTTATTTTATTTGTTTGCCCTACGTTGTGGTTATAACTGTGATGGCGTTCTTGGTTGTAACGATAAAAATTGTTTGATTGACGCTGTTTTCTTTGAGAGGGATTTTTTTTTTTTTCTTTAGCCGTCATGGCATTTTTTTTTCTTCTTGTGAAGAAATATTGGAGTGTGATAATAGTTGTTAGGTGAACCACGGAAGAATAAATGGATGATCAATATTATTTCAACTCTATTTTCCAGTTTATTGCTTTATTTTACTTTTTCTTAAAAGCATGCGATATCAAAATTGTCATTATCCTCAGCAGCAAAAAATTTCGTTAGTTATATAGCTGAAATTTTATAACATTAGAAAATTGTTCGTCATTTTATTTCTTATACTTAATTATTTATCAAATATTATTATGAACTACTGCTATTATGATCATTATTATTGTAGGAAAAATTTGTAATTTTATCTAGAACAAATATATCTTTATCTCTATTTCCAGTTTATTACTTTATTTTACTTTTTTAAAAGAAACCATATGATATCAAATTTGTCATTGTCTTCTGCAGAAAAAAATTTCGTTAGTTATATAGCTGAAATGTTACAACATTAGAAAATTATTCGTCATTTTATTTTTTATGTTTAATTATTTATCAAATATTATTATGAAATACTGCTTTTATTATAATTATTATTGTAGAAAAAAATTGTAATTTTATCTAGAACAAATATGTCTTTATCGCTATTTTCCAATTTATTGCTTTATTTTACTCCTTTTTTCTTAAACCATACGATATCAAATTTGTCATTATATTCTACAGCAAAAAATTTCGTTAGTTGTATATCTGAAATGTTATAACATTAAAAAATTCTGCTTCATATTATTTTTTAGCTAATATTGTTGTTATTTTCTTAATTATTTTATAACAAACTTTGTAATTTTATTTGGAACAAAATTACTCTGAAGACAGCAACGTTTTTCAATTATATATTTAATAAAATGCATGTAGCCACTACTCATGTGATATTATATTTTAGCAGATTTTTAAAGAAAATTTTCTCGCCCCTAAATGTTTTACATTTGTTGAATATATTTTGTATCATTAAAAAATAATGACATTCTATTTTGGATTTTTTTTTCAGAGCATATTCTGCCGATTTAAGCGTAAAATGATATCTGTTATAAAAACTTCTTTAAAAATTTATTTGTTGAAAATCTTTTGATAATATAGACCAATTGATAGATGATCAATTTGGTAAATTGTGATAGGTAAACGTAACAAGCGTTTTGATAAACACCCCAGTCATTTTTATAAGCAATAAGATTTTTAAGATTTGTGATAATTACCAACCCACTTGAAACTGTGAGATTTCTTATAAAGATTAGTTTAAACGTTATCTTATAGTTTTCAACTTAAGGCACACGGAAAATTAAGCGAAATTGTGATTCGAAACTCACTTCCGTCCCCAAATATTGTAAGAGCTCAACCATAGCTTTTAATTTTCTTCGGCAAAAATCATCTAACACTGCTTTTTACTGGTTGACCCGATTTCCTAAGAATCATATGTCTTAATGGATGACTTCTTATTTTATTTTAATCGTTCTATTTCTTCCACGATCATTCCTACAATGTCTCCCTTGAAGTCTACCTTTTGTTCTTAGTTCAGTTTTCCCTGCGTTAGGTTTTTTGTTCTAGAACAAATGTTTCTGCATATTCTTCATTCTTTGTCGCGGGTATGATAATAGGCCTAGGAACAAAACCGTAAATAAGAAGACAATATTTGCAAATTAACGTTGAAAAGTCTTAACTGAAAGATTTGAAAAAAGAAAAAAGTTCAAGTTAAAGCGGCATTAATAAATTTGTGACGAATTTGAGATTTCTCGATAATTTATCTTGCGTTTGTTTAGTTTATGTCTTTTTCTCCAACATCGAAAACAACGTAAATCTTTTGTGGCAAATGTCTAAATGCTCTTGAATGCCCAAACAAATAATGTGGCATTGGCATAGTTCTACCCCAGTCCCAAATAACTGAAAGCTTTATCAGTGGGCTATTAATGAGCTATGATTTAAAAACAGCTTTTTTAACACATGCTATGATTTTTTTTTTTATAAATATATAAGAGAATCTATAAGAGTATATACTTTAAAACGTAACTTTTTCAGAAGGGAAATCTTTTGATGAAAAATGCAAGAAATTCCGCGTTTTCTAAAAGAAATTTTTTGCAAATTTTTTTTTTTACCTAACTTCCAAATTGTAGATTATTCTTTGCTGACTTTATAAACATATTCAGGTTTTTAACGCGATTTATTTGGCTTTAAAAGAAATATCGATGATATTGATGAATTTTCATTTCACTTTAAATAAACAATTCAATAACTTTCTCCCTAGCTTTCTGAAACATACAGTCTTTTCAAGCATATATCAAACATAAACAAAGTGTAATAAAATTTAGTTGAATATATATATATATATATATATATATATATATATATATATATTCAATTTAATTTTATTACACTTTGTTTTGCTGCACAATAACTTTAAAACTTTGAAACTTGAAATTACGAAAATATATCTAAAAGTAAAGAAGGGAAGTGACAGAAGGAAAAATAATTAACATTCAATAATTAGTGTGAGAGTTATTAATTGTCAAACTTATAAAAAATACCATGCTCAGCAGGCCACAGGTATACAACTGCTGAATTGAAATTTGACTTGCTCAAATGGTAATTTTTTTATGAACTTAACTCTAGCTTTTTTCGAAATTCCAATTTGTTCGACTGATAACAATCTTAAAACCTTATTACTAATGTCTCATTTTTTATAGTCTTAAGACCTTACATTCATAAAAACTGTAAGTAAATTTAAAAAGAAGAAGAAGGAAAAAAAAAAAAAAAAAAAAAAAANAAAAGAAAAAAAAAAAAAAAAAAGAAAAACGGAATGTGTTTTAAAATTAGAAATAGAATTTTCTGAATATAAAAAGTATTTATCTTACTTTTGGAAAAATAATTTTTTTTTTGTTTAGTATTGTATTTAGGAAAAAAAATATGCGGATCCCATAAACAAATGAACAATTTTAGCTATCAAATTTAAATATCTAAATATTTCAAAATTCATTTTTGTTAAGTATCCATCAATTCAGTTATGTATAGATCAGTCCAATAAACGGCAACTTATATAATTTTTTTTCCCAGTAAAGGGTTGGTCTGTTCGGGAGTGGACAATTTACAATCATCTTACAAAACATCGTCATCCTTACTGGTGGAGTGGCGTCTATCCGGTATTTTTCCTGGGGAATCGTGGCATCTGCGAGCAACGATATGAAGGATGGTGATGTCACCACAAATAGGCAACAAATAAAATCCCGTAGAATAACCTTTGTCCATTCTGATGATGAATGACCATCCACTGTTTGAGACATTTTTACTACATTATTTTGTTGCTTTTTTCTATCTCATTTGCAAGCAATCTTTAACTAAGGATTTATTATATTATTTTTTCGATGAATTATTTAATTGTATAACATAATTCATAGATTTATTTACCTAATTGTTTTACTCTATTAATTTACAATAAACGAACATTGTAATTATTCGATATAACAATTGAATTCGATATACACTTAATAAAAACTCATAATATACACTATTAGTAATGAAATTCATACAAAAAAAATATGTATATTTGAATAATATCTGTATCTATTATTTTTCGAATGTAAGAATGATCACTTATGCAATTTTAAAAAAAAAAAAAAAGAAAAAAAAAACAATTTAATTAATAAAATGACCGTAGGTTTTTACAGAAACTACTCTAGTTATTGTTTTAATTAATCGTTTTTCGGCCTCCTTTAAAATCATATTCTCTCCTCACTCCTTTAAATTTAAGCTCAGATACTGGTATTCGATATTTTATTTATTTATTTATTTTTTTGCCATTTGGAAAAATACAATATTTGCCATATTTAAATCAAGTGGATGACGATATTTTTTTTCTTTTGTCTTATGAATTGAGAAAACTAGCATTAAATCTGCACGTTAACTGTAGGAAATAAAGATTATACATTGCCCTTAATATTTGTGCATAGGCTTAATGACAAGGGTTGACTAGCACTGATTTAAACTGCTAGTGTCGCATCGTTTGTACTCTTGGTGTAATAATTTCCTGCAATAAGACAGTTTTCATTTTTTAAAATTTACTATTCTATTGTTTATTGCCGAATGGACTTAGTACACTCTCCCACTCCAGAAACTGTTAAATACTGTTATTTAATGCACCTTCATCCACAAAAATCTTCAAAATTTAAAGTTTTAGCAACATGAACGAATGTTTTATTGTTGACTCATTTAAAGTAAGCGCGTCAAGGCGTTTATATTTTTGGCGTTTTTGTTTTGCCAGAAAACAGCTTCCTAATTTTATTGGTTCATTGTTTGTTGCCAAATGTTATCTAAGAAATACTCCTAAAAAATTCAAAGATTTTCACTTAGTGCCTTCATCTTCCGAGATCAGTAATTTTTTTAATTATCAATTGTAATATTTAATATTGTTACCTGGATTATTTAAGAAAACAGGAATACGATTTTAACCGAGAAATTTTATTTTATTTTTCTAATATTTGACTTAAAATCTTTTTTTACAAAGTTCTTTAAATCTCCCTCCATTGACCGTGCAACTTTATATTCCCATTGCAATAATTTAGAAGACATTATAATAACGTAACTTATCAATTTATATAATTTTCGTACCACAAACGAGTATGATTCTATGTTTTTCCACTCAATGAATCTAAAAATTGCAACAAAAACAAATGAAATTAACCGCAGTAAATCCTCCTACTC